GGGGTTTGCCCTTTGTTGTAGGATATATCAGAACTTCATTCCTTTTTATTGCCAAATAATCATCTGTGTCAAGGTGCCGCGCTTTACTCATCTGTTCACCAGCTGATGGCATTTGGGTGCTTCCATGTCTCTGCGACTTTGAAGGATGCTGCTTTGGGTGCAGGTGTTTGCACTGATGTGTTTTCATTTCCCTTGAATTCAAACTTAGGTGATATTGTTATTATAAAGCTCTACAACAAGAAACATTCGTCAGTGTGACATTTACAGATACACACAAAGTACTGAATTTTTTTTTAAGGGAATAATAGCATTCAGGGCCGGACACGATGGCTCATGCCTGTAATACCAGCACTTTGGGAGGCCGAGGCAGGCAGACCACCTGAGGTCAGGAGTTCAAGACCAGCCTGACCAACATGGCGAAACCCTATCTCTACTAAAAAATACAAAAATTAGCTAGGCGTGGTGGCAGGCACCAGTAATCTCAGCTACTTGGGAGGCTGAGGCAGGAAGAATTGCTTGAATCTGGGAGGCAGAGGTTGCAGTAAGCCAAGATCGTGTCACTTCACTCCAGCATGGGCGATGGAGCAAGACTCCATCTGAAAAAACAGGACAAAACAGCAATAACAACAAGAAAAAACAGGGAGTAGATGGGGAGCACGGGGGTGGGAAGGGAAGGACACAGCTGGAGGAACGGGTGATGGCTGGTGGGTTTACGGGTGTTCAGTTTTTATTATGCTCCATAACTTACATATAGATTTTGTTAGATATCATGTATACATATATATGCTACATAATAAGGCAAGGCCAGGCACAGTGACTCACACCTGTAATCCCAGCACTTTGAGAGGCCGAGGTTGGTGGATTACTGGAGGTCAGGAGTTCAAGACCAGCCTGACCAACATGAGGAGACACCGTCTCTACCAAAAAACACAAAAATTAGCCCGGCGTGGTGGTGCACACCTGTAGTCCCAGCTACTTAGGAGGCTGAGGGACCAGAATCGCTTGAATTTGAGAGTCAGAGGCTGTGGTGAGCTGAGATAGTGCCACTGCACTCCAGCCTAGGCAACAGAGCTAGACTTCATCTCAAATAATAATAATAATAATAATAAAGCATTTTAAAAAATGAAAGCCTGTCTCCAACGACCTGACAACCAAGATTCCAACTGCAGTGACAGGTTGCACCCCTCTACACACCTCGCTGGCTCTTAGCACTCAAAGGCCGAGGCACTCCCACGGGTGCCACTGCCTGGCCTGAAAAGCCCAGTCCCAGAGGTCTGCGGAGCTCGTCCGTGCTTCCCCGGGGGGCCTTGCTTCCCACTGGCCACCATTGGTAGAACAAACAGCCCATCTGTGCACCCTTCTTCCTCCTCTCCTTGACCCCCTCCCCTCGTGTACTCTTCCACGAAGCAGCAGCATCCCTGACATGTATTTGTTTGTTCTGTCTGTTGCCTCCCAGATGTGTGTGCAGAATGTAGCTCCAGGAGCAGGATCCCGGCTGGCTCATAGCCCAAGCCCCGATGTGCACATACCTGGCAGCCAGGGGGGCTCAGGAAATAATGCAGAGTTAACAGAAGCAGCCAAGACTGTGATGCGATGGAGAGAACTAGGGCTATCAGCCTGAGCTGCTCTCGACAGCTGAAAGCACAGGCTGTGTTGCTGTTGTTACCCTGGGCAGACACACACCTTTGGTAAATACACTGTGATTTGTATTTTGAGGTCTGGAAAACAGTCATCAGACCCTCATGAGCTTTAGTAAGACTACATTTCACTCTGTTGAAAATTGAGCATCTGAATTGAGATGTGTAAAATACACACCAGATTTTAAGACTTGGCACACACAAGAAGGTAAAATATTTCATTAATAATTTTTGAGCTGTGTCTGGTGGCTGCACACTTGTAGTCTCAGCTACGTAGGAGACTGAGGTGGGAGGATCACGTGAGCCCAGGGAGGTCACAGTGAGCTGTGATCACACCACTGCACTCCAGCATGGGCAACAGGGAAAGACCCTATTTCTTAAAAAAGGGGGAGGAGGCGGTTAAATAAATAATTTTGATATTGATTACATGTTGAAATAATACTACTTTGGATATATTGGGTTAAATAAAGTATATTAAAATGAATATTACAAAAATATAAAATTATATATGCAGCTCTCATTATATTTATGTTGGACAGACATTTCCATCATGTTATGGCCTGGCTTTGTGTGCTCACCCAAATCTCATCTCAAATTGTAATCCTCATGTGTCGAGGGAGGGGTCTTGTGGGAAGCAATTGAATCATGGGGATGGACTTCACCTTTGTTATTCTCATGATAGTGAGGGAGTTCTCACAAGATCTGATTTTGTTTTTGTTTTTGTTTTTGCTTTTATTTGGAGACAGAGTTTCACTCTTGTTGCCCAGGCTGGAGTGCAATGGTAAGATCTCGGCTTCCTGCAACCTCAGCCTCCCAGGTTCAAGTGATTATCCAACCTCAGCCTCCCAAGTAGCTAGGACTATAGGCACACGCCACCATGCCCAGCTAATTTTTTGTATTTTTAGTAGAAACGGGGTTTCACCATGTTGGCCAGGATAGTCTCGATCTCTTGACCTTGTGATCTGCCTGCCTCGGCCTCCCAAAGTGCTGGAATTACAGGCGTGAGCCACGACGCCTGGCCATTTTTTTTTAGATGGAGTCTCACTCTGTCACCCAGGCTGGAGTGCAGTGGCGCAATGTTGGCTCACTGCAACCTCCACCTCCCAAGTTTAAGCGAGTTTCGTGTCTCAGCCTCCCAAGTAGCTACGATTACAGACACAAGCCACCATGCCAAGCTAATTTTTGTATTTTTAGTAGAGATGGGGTTTTGCCATGTTGACTAGGCTGGTCTCCAACTCCTGACCTCAGGTGATAGCCTGTCTTCAATTCCCAAAGTGCTGGGATTACAGGCGCGAGTTACCACGCACAGCCGAGATCTTATGGTTTAAAAGTGTGGCATAGGGCAGCCCCCTGGCACCAAGCAGCCTGAAAGTGCCCCAGCCCAGAAGCTAAAAGTGTGGCACTTCCCCACTCCTGCCCCCTGCTGCATGTAAGATGTGCCTCACCATAAGTTCGCCTTCACCTTCTGCCATGATTGTAAGTTTCCTAGCCATGTGGAACTGTGAGTCAATTAAACCTTTCTTTATAAATTACCCAATCTCAGGTAAAACAGACTAATAGCAGGGTGAAAACAGACTAATATACATCATAACCGAAAGGTCCACTGGTCTAGAGTCTAAACAAACCATTCTCACCTCCAAGCACCCCGGTCCCTCCCACATCCACACTTGGTCCAAGCTCCCTGCCTGGGGGCCCTAGCCCTCTCTGATTCTCTGGGGCTAAGCCCTGACTTCCTCCACGTGAAGCTGTCTTGCCTGTCCTTTCCTGCTGGTAGGAACCATCTTCCTCCCTTAATATCTACTATTTATACCAGACATAAGCACTTAGGCTTGGAGAACTAATTTCCTCTTCAGCTCAATTTTGACGTTAAAGGCAATTAATACCCTTCTCTCTTAACTCAGTGCCTTGCATATGAGGAATGGTGACTGATGATTCTAACAGTATTAGTAACACCTTGTTTTTCTGTGGTGCTTTACAACTCAAAAAAGATCTGTCATGTTCCCAAAACCCTAAGAAGGAGGACAGGTAGAGATTTTCATAGCCATTGTATACCTGAGGAAACTGAGGCTCAAACAGGTTATTTTGCACAGGTCATAAGGCTTCTTAAGGTGGCCCCTATTTTTTCGGCTGTAGACAAGTGCTGTTTCCCCTCCACTGTGCTTTTCGTGCCCTCATAAAAACACAGGTAATTAAAACTGAATATAGAAAGAAAAGATTAGCATGGGTCTGGGAAACGAGGGCTGCTTCCTGTTAGAGGCAAGACTTGACCTGAACTTTGAGAAATGGGCAAGTTTTGGCCAAACAAAGAGGAAGATGCAGACTTTTGGGGAGAGAACCACAGCTATTCTGAAAACCAATCCATAATCAGAGATCTTTGTTAACAAAGAATGCTGGAATTAAACATTTGGACATTTTTTTTTAAACAACAGCTTTTAGCATGACATCTTCAATATGGAGGATAAAAAGAGAAAAAAGGGCCAGGAGCGGTGGCTCACGCCTGTAATCCCAGCACTTTGGGAGGCTGAGGTGGGTAGATCACGAAGTCAAGAGATTGAGACCATCCTGGTCAACATGGTGAAACCCTGTCTCTACTAAAAATACAAAAATTAGCTGGGCATGGTGGCACGGGCCTGTTGTCGCAGCTACTCAGGAGGCTGAAGCTGAAGAATTGCTTGAACCCAGGAGGCAGAGGTTGCGGTGAGCCGAGATTGCGCCACGGCACTCCAGCCTGGCGACAGAGCAAGACTCTGTCTCAAAAAAAAAAAGAAAGAAAGAAAAAAGAAAAAAAACCAACAGCTTTATCAAGATATAATTCATATACATAAAATCTGCCCCCTCCTTTTTTTGAGATGGAATCTCACTCTGTCGCCAGGTTGGAGTGCAGTGGCGCAATCTCTGCTCACTGCAACCTCCACCTCCCAGATTGAAGCGATTCTCCTGCCTCAGCCTCCCAAGTAGCTAGGACTACAGGTATGCACCACCATGTCCAGCTAATTTTTTTTTGTATTTTTAATAGAGACAGATTTCACCATGTTGGCCAGGATGGTCTCGATCTCTTGGCCTCATGATGCGCCCACCTCAGCCTCCCAAAGTGCTAAAAATCCCCCCTTTTAAAGTATACAATTGAGTGGCTTTTAGAATATTCAGAGTTGTGCAACCATCACTACTAATGTCAGAACATTTCACTACCCCTAAAAGAAACCCCATATGACAGATTCTGATGCCGCCAGGAGCCCCATACTACCAGCCGTGGTCAACCCCACCTTGTTCTTCAACATTGCCATCAACAGCAAGGTGCTGGGCTGCATCTCCTTTGAGCTGTTTGCAGACAGGTTTCCCAAGACGGCAGAAAACTTTTGTGCTCTGAGCACTGGAGAGAGAGTATTTGGTTAAAAGGGTTTCTGCTTTCACAGAATTATTCCAGGGTTTATGTGTCAGGGTGGTGACTTCACACGCCATAATGGCACTGGTGGCAAGTCCATCTACGGGCAGAAATGTGATGATGAGAATTTCATCCTAAAGCATACAGGTCCTGGCACCCTGTCCATTGCAAATGCTGGACCCAACACAAACGGTTCCCAGTTTTGCATCTGCACTGCAGAGACTGAGTGGTTGGATGGTAAGCATGTGGTCCTTGGCAAGGTGAAAGAAGGCATGAATATTGGGGAGGTCATGGAGCGCTTTGGGTCCAGGAATGGCAAGGCCAGCAAGAAGATCACCATGGCTGACTGTGGACAACTCGAATAAGTTTGATTTGTGTTTTATCTTAACCACCATTCCTTCTGTAGCTCAGGAGAGTGCCCTCCACCCCATTTGCTCGCAGTGTCCTAGAGTCTTTGTGCTCTCACTCAGTTCCCTTTGGGTTCCATGTCTGTCTTGTTCCCTTCCCTGCCTAGCTGGACTGCAGAGTTTATGATTATAAAATAAAAACTGAATAACAATTGCAAAAAAAAAAAATAAGAAAGAAAGAAAACTCATGCCCTCTGTCAGTCACTCTGTTTTCCTCCTCCCCCAAGCCCCTGACAAGCACTAATCATAGAGACAGGCAGTTTCTGTCTCTATGGATTTGCCTATTCGGGACATTTCACATAAACAGAGTCATACAATATGTGGCCTTTTGTGACTGACTTTTTTCTTTTTTTTCATGTTTGTTTTTGAGATGAAGTTTCGCTCTTGTTGCCCAGGCTGGAGTTCAATGAGGCAATCTCAGCGCACTGCAACCTCTACCTCCCAGGTTCAAGTGATTCTCCTGCCTCAGCCTGCTGAGTAGCTGGGATTGGAGGCACACTCCACCATGCCTGGCTAATTTTTGTATTTTTAGTAGAGACGGGGTTTTGCCATGTTGGTCAGGCTGGTCTCAAACTCCTGACCTCAGGTAATCCACCCACCTCAGCCTCCCAGGCCTGAGCCACCATGCCCGGCCTGGCTTTTTTCAGTTAGCATACCAGTTTCAAGGTTCATATATATTATATAATATGTAACGACTTCATTCCTTTTTATAGCTGAATAAATACTCCACTGTATGACTTTTCCACATTTTGTTTATACAGTAATCAGTTGATGGACATTGGGATTGTTTCTAAAGTTTAGCTATTATGAAGAGTATTATGCTGCTATGAACATTGGCGTACAAATTTTTGTGTAAGTATGTTTTCAATTCTCTAGAAGTAGAATAAGGTCACATGGTAATTCTATGTTATACATCTTGAAGAACTGCCAATCTGTTTTCCAAAGTGGCCTCACCATTTTACCACCCACTAGCAATGTAAAAGGATTCCAATTTCTCCATCTCTTTGCCAACATTCGCTATTATCTTTATTTTTTCCATCTTAGTGGGCAGAAGTGTTTCTCATGTGATTTTATTTGGATTTCCCTGACAACTAGTGAAGTTGAACATCTCGTCCATGTGTTCACCATTTGTATATTTCCTTGGATAATGTCTATTCAAATCCCATTTTTAAATTGAGTTATTTGTCTTCTTTCTTGAGTTAGTTGAGTTCTTTTTTTAAAAAATAAGTTGTGGTTTTTTTAAGAGACTGGATCTCACGGTGTTGCCTAGCCTGGAGTACAGCGCCTAATGACAGGCACAGTCATGGCGCACTACAGCCTCCAGCTCCCGGACTTAAGCGGTCCTGCCTCAGCCTTGTCAGTAGCTGGGATCCCAGGTGTGTGCCACCATGCTGGCTATAAGAGGTTTTATATATTCTGAAAACAAGTCTCATACATAGTCCCTCCCTTATCTAAAGTTTTGCTTTCTGATGTCTCAGTTACCTGTAGCTGACCTTGGTCCAAAAATATCAAATGGACAATTTCATGAACAAACAATTCATAAGTTACATTGCGTGTCATTCTGAGGAGAGTGATGAGATTTTGGCTGGCTCAAGACAAATCGTTCCTTTGTCCAGCAGAGCCACAATATACATGCGACCCGCCTACTAGTCACTTAGGGGCCATCTCAGTTATTAGGACTGTCACAGCATGGCAGTGCTAGAGTTCAACTAACCCTTATTTTACTTCATAATGGGCCCCAAAGCGCAAGAGTACCCGTGCCTGCAGTTTGGATCTGCCAGAGAGAAGCCAAACAGTGCTTCCTTTAAGGGAAAAGGTGAAAGTTCTCAGCTTTGGAAAGAAAAAGATCGGCTCTGTGTTGAGGTTGCTAAGATCACGAATCTTGTATCCGTGAAATTTTGAAGAAGGAAAAAGAAATTCATGCTAGTTTTGCTGCCACACCTCAAACTGCGAAGGTTGTAGCCACAATGTGTGATTAGTGCTTAGTTAAGAAGGAAAAGGCATTGTATTTGTGAAGACAGAAACGGGAATGTGTCCTGATTGTGGTGCCAGAAAGCACTGAGCCTACAGGAAGAGGTCAGCAAAAGAGCCCCTGAAAAGTGACTCCAAGCCATTCACTGCAAGGGATGGTTACACAGATGCTGGAACACAGAAGGTCAATAGTAGCTTGATGTTACATCACGCTTAACTCGATATCATTCACCTCACTTCATCTCATCACATCCGTGTTATGCCACTGTGCTCACCATCACAAGAATGGTGAGTATAGCACAAGAAGATATTTTGAGAGAGAAAGAGAGAGATCACATTTACATAACTTTTATTATATTTTTATAATTTTTCTATTATTAGTTATTGCTAATCTCTTACTGTACCTAATTTGTACATTAACCCTTGTTATAGGTATGTATGTATGGGAAAAAACATAGTGTGCATAGGGCCCAATGCTTCCTTCAATTTCAGGGAATCTTGGAATGTACCCTGAGGATAAGGGGGGCTGCTATACTACACACGTTACAAATATCTTCTCTCACCCCCTGGGTTGTCTTTTCATTTTCTTGATAGTGTCCATTAAAGCACAAAAGTTTTAAATTTTGGTGAAGACCAATTTATCTATTTTTTCTTTCATCACTTAAGCTTTTGGCGTTGTATCTAAGAAACCATTGACTGCCTAATCCAAGGTCACAAAGATTTATGCCTATGTTTTCTTCTAAAAGTTTTATGGTTTTAGTTCTTACATCAAGATCCATTTTGAGTTTTTTGTTTTGTTTTGTTTTGTTTTCTTTTTTGAGACAGTGTCTTACTCTGTCACTCAGGCTGGAGTGCAGTGGCATGATCGTGGTTCACTGCAGCCTCAACCTCCTGGGCTCAAACGATCCTCCCATCTCAGCCTCCCAAGTAGCTGGGACTATAGACATGTGCCACCACGCCCAGCTAATTTTTTTGTAGAGATGAGGTTTCACCATATTGCCCAGGCTGGTCTATAACTCCTAAGCTCCAGTGATCAGCCCACCTCAGCTTCCCAAAGTGCTGGGATTACAGGCATGAACCACTACACCCAGCCCCAAATTTTGTATATCATATAATAAAGGGGTCCAACTTCATTCTTTTATATGTGGAAATCCAGCTGTTCCAGCACCATTTGTTAAAAATATTTTCTTCCCCATTTAATCGCCCTAGTAGCCTTGTCAAAACCAATTGAACATAATTGTAAGGGTTTACTTCTGGACTCTCAATTCTATTCCATTGTTGAGCATATTTTTGAGCACTGTTTTTCTCTCCTGTGGTAGCTGGTGACCTGTACTTCCTGGAAGAGAGATGATCAGAGGTTCCTAAGCCAACTGAGTTTCCTCGCGTGGGTCAGGTCTCTGTGGCTCTCTGTGCCAGCCTATTCATAATGACATCCTCCTGCAGGATTTGAGCCTTCTTCTTTGTTGTGACAGCAGCCGAGGAGGTGGCTGACTGCCCAGACTGTCTTATCTCTTTCCTACCTCTTAAGGTTATTGTAAATACCAAATTAGGCTGTTTATACACAAGAATTTCGCACTAAAGCACGATACAAATGTAAGCTATACCTTTCTGTTTATCCTTCTCCTTCATGAGTAAGACTCTAAAAATAGAAGATATTTTTAATTTTTACTCATTGGGCTTAAAGATACAGTGTCTATATTATTGCAAATTCCAAATTAATGAAGTCTGGTTCTTCACGTGTTATTCCTGCAGGAGGCTGTGAGCTCACCCCCGGAGTGTGAATAAGAGTGTGGGTCATTTCCTCTCTCCTCTACACCCTTCTTTGGATGAGGTTGTGCCCTGTGCCAGCCATCGTGCTAAACTCTGGGAAAACCACAGAGAATAAGCCAGACACTATCCCTGCCCTCCAGGAACATACAATTTAATGAAGAAGCTGGGAGATTTAAGTCATTCTAATAAAGTGCGACATTGAGGGAGGTGCAAGGTGATGCCTCCCCCAGCCCTGGTATCAGCTGCTCCAGGTCCAGGAGAAGACTTCGATGATCTTCCAACTCTGTTGGAAGTGGAGGCAGAAGCTGTTTAGCTGACACAGTCCCTAACCCAGGGTCTATAGACATTGTGGAAATGCCGGTCGCACAGTCAGACCAGAGCATGAACCAGCAGAAGCAAGACCCGCCCTCCATCCTCCTGAACAGAGTTCTCAGGAGCTCTTCAGAGCAAAGCTGGCCTCTGGCTGAGGGTCTCTAGATACAGGTTAGGCTTCAGGCTCTTCTCCCCTCCACTCATCTCCCCTCCCTTGGACCCCTCCTTCAGGGGCTGACAGGGCCCCACTCTAGTCTCTCCCTGACCCAAGCCTCTGCCGGCAGAGAGACTGCTTCCTCCCAGAAGACAGCAGCTCATTTGCACACAGACATCCACAGCCCTCAAAACCTGGAAGAACAAGCTGTTTGGACTCCTGAGAGCAGGGTGGCTCCTGGAAGGAGAGCCCAGGCCACCACCTTGCCCTCCCCTACCCTCAATGGGGCTGCTCTGACCACAAATGCCCAGCCATGCAGCCGGCCCTGCAGTGCACCCATGTCCCCTGGTACCCACTGACTCTCCAAGCCAAACTGGGCAGGGAGGACTTGTGAGGGAAAACCGCAGGTTGGGAAGGAGGTTGGCAAAGGGGGCCAGGGCCCAGGCCTGCCCCCAGCTCTCCTCTCACTGGCTCCTTTCCGGCCAGTGTTTAACAATGCCCTGCCTTCTTCCCCTAGGGCTGGGGACAGCCACCTTCCTCCTCACCCCACCGCCCCCTCTCCGCTGACACCACATCATCTGACAAGTCAGCGCAATCTCACGGGGGTACATGGTGTCACAGCCTCCTGCACACACACTCCATGCTGCACAGCAAGCCACACGTGTCCCTCAGAGCCCCAGACAGCAGCCCCCACTCATCCAGAAGCCCAAGTCATTCCCAGCAGCCCCCAGCAGCCTAATGGGTTGGGGTCTCAGGAGCAGCTGTCCCTGGCTCCTTCCCTGATCCCACCGCCCAGCCTCAACCCACGGTTCCTCCATCTCCCCACCTCCCACCGTGCCATCGGGCGTCTGTCAGGGTGAAGGGGCCTCCTTCCTCTGGGGGCAGATGCCATGGTGCTGAGGTGATCTCCACAACCGCCCTGTGCGCCAAAAGGACAACACCGTCCTCCCTCCCCACTTGTCACTTTGAGGGACACGTGGATGAGACAGGAAGACAGGGGAGTGTGGAGACCTGAGGTGACTTGGAGCAAGCCTCTCAACCTGAGAGGCAGTTTCTTTATCTGTAAAATGAGGGGGTTGTTCGCATCTCTGAGGCTTTATGTAGCTCTCAAAGCCTGCCAGCCTCGGGCTCTAGGACTCAGTAGGGATCCTGTGTGATGTTTTCTGCTGAACGACTGACTGGCAGCCCGTGTCCCCGGGGGAAGAGGGCAGGCGCTTCAAAGCTCCTACGCTCTGTGGCTCCCTCTCCCAGAGCAGCGCCCCCTTTCTCTCCCCCTTCCTCACAGCCCCCACTCCAAGCCCCAGGTGCGCCAGCTGCCCTGAGCCTCTGCGACACCTCCCCGAGGCGCCTGCAGGACACCTAAGGTCTCCCGCCACACCCGGCAGGCGACGTCCCCGCCTCTCGACCACGGCCTGGTGAAGAAGCCCGCCGGGACCCATCGGCCCCATCCCCGCTGCCCGAGCGGCGCCTGCAGACAGCTCCCGGGGCCCGGCCTTGTCACTCCGGAGCCGGGAAGGACCGGGGGGTTGGGCCGGAAAATCTAGCCGGAGGCCGCCGGGCTCCTGAGCCCCAGCCGAGGCTGCGCGGCCGCGCGGTGGGCAGGCTCGGGTGTTCTGGCAAACTGCCGGGTCTTCAGAAGAGTGGAGGCCCTTTCCCCAGCTTCCTCAGCGGGATCCCGATCCAGAGCCACCCCACCACCCCCGGGCTGCACCTTGGCCCCTCCCCGGCCCGCGCCCCTGCCTGGGGCGGGCCAGGAATCTCGGCCCGCGCGGCTGGGGACTTTGGAGCCGAGGAGGAAGCCGCGGCGGGGCGGGGGCGGGGGTGTGTCGGGTTTTATAACCCGCAGGCCGGCCGCGGCGCCGAAGAGGGGGCAGCGTTGAGCACTGCGCACCGCGCAATGGGGGCCGCCTCCGGCCACCTGGGGCCGGGGCCGCCGCTGCCGCTGCTACTGCTACTGCTGCTGCTGCTGCCGCCGCCGCCCGCCCTGGCGCTGGACCCCGGGCTACAGCCCGGCAACTTTCCCGCCGACGAGGCCGGGGCGCAGCATTTTGCGCAGAGCTACAATTCGAGCGCCGAGCAGGTGCTGTTCCAGAGAATAGCTGCCAGCTGGGCGCACGACACCAACATCACCGCGGAGAATGCGCGGCGCCAGGTGGGCGCCCGGGCCCGGGCGGGGGCGGGGCGGGGCCGCGGCGGCCAATCACAGCGCGCGGCCAGCTTGCGGGGCGGGCAGGCGGGCGCCCCGGGCCCGAACCCCACCCCGACCCCCCACCCCCGCCCCAACCGTCAGCCACAGGGCCGGAGCGCCGGGCTACTAGGACGGCCTGCGCCCCACCATGCACGAGTTGGATGGATGAGGCAGGCTCCTCCGAGACCGGGATCCCAGGACGCCGCAGCCGGGGACCGGGCAGGGGCCACGGATCCTTCGCCGATGGTGCTGGGCTTGGCTCTGGGGCCCCGAGCTGTCGGGCCGCTGCCTGGTCACCTCTGGACGCTGTCGCTGTCACCGCCCTGCACTGTCCATTCACCTTCCACTCGCCCAGCCTCTTTTTGGTCCCAGTTTCTGCTCTACCGTTCCCATGAGGCAGATTCCCCCTAGAAGGAGGAAACGCGGCTTCCGCAAACTCGTCTTCCGCAGGGATCTCCGCAGGGATCTCCCCAAGGCCCAGGCCCTGGAAGCCCTTGGCCTTCCTCCCCTCCCCCAGCACCATGGCCTCCCCTCTATGGCGTGCACCTAAGCGAGGTCCTCCCTACACCCTCCCTGCGCTCCTGGTGCCCACAGGAGGAAGCAGCCCTGCTCAGCCAGGAGTTTGCAGAGGCCTGGGGCCAGAAGGCCAAGGAGCTGTATGAACCGATCTGGCAGAACTTCACCGACCCGGAGTTGCGCAAGATCATCGGAGCTGTGCGCACCCTGGGCCCTGCCAACCTGCCCCTAGCTAAGCGGCAGCAGGTGGGCTGAGGGCCAAGGCAGAGCTGGGAGCGGCCTCCCACTGCCCCATCGTAGGGGTCGGAGGAGAGCAGCCCAGTAGGGAGGGAGGGACCCTGGCATCCACATGGGCCCTGGCTGAAGGGAAAGCCCAGGTAAGCACAGAATGGCTTCCCAAAGCCCTGATTTTTCTTGGAGACGGGGTGGGGAGCTACTTTCTATTAAAGGAAGCATTCTGAAATAGGAAGCCAAATTCAAGTAAGCTTGTCCCTAGGCTGCTTGATGAGCTTCCTTGAAAGGGTTGAGAAGGGCTGGGTGAGGTAGCTCACGCTTATAATCACAGCCCTTTGGGAGGCTGAGGTGGGTGCATCGCTTGAGCCCAGGAGTTTGAGACCAGCCTTCCCAACATGGCAAAATCCTGTCTCTAAAAAAACAATACAAAAAACTTAGCTGGGCTTGGTAGTACATGCACTTACAGTCCCAGCTACTGTGGAGGCTGAGAGGGAGGGATCACCTGAGCTGAGAAGGTCAAGGCTGCAGTGAGTGATTATTGCACCACTGCACCCCAGCCTGTACAGCAGAGTTCCCCCCACCCCTGCAAAAAAAAAAAAAAAAAGGAAAAAAAGAGGTTGAGAAAGACAGAAGTCACCAAAGCCGGAGAATGGGAGGGATCTGCCCTCACTGCAGGGCAGCACCAAGCTGGGACTTGACCGTGACCCTGACTTTCAAGACTCCTGTCTCCCACTCCACAGGCTGCCTCCACTGGCAGGAGACTCAGGTGTTAGTGATCAGAAGTGCCCCCGTGCCACTGAGTGGCCTTGTCCAAGCCACATCCCCTCTGTGGGCTCCTTCTTCTAGCAGCGAGGGAAGGGAAGGGAAGGGCAGATGTCCTGGGGGCTGGCTGGTCACCGGAACATTCCTCCCCTCTGACTCCCCAGTACAACATCCTGCTAAGCAACATGAGCAGGACCTACTCGACTGCCAAGGTCTGCTTCCCCAACAAGACTGCCACCTGCTGGTCCCTGGACCCAGGTACCGCCTTGTGGCTCCCCAGCGCCCCCGCATTGCCCTGCTGCACTCGAGACCGTGCAGTTGTGTAGGGTCTGTGGAGAGAGCAGATAAACCCAAAGGCATTGCGCTTCCTCCAACTGGGGCAGGGCAGTGCAGATGCCCCCATGCCCTGCTTCTCTTGGCAAATGGACTTATCGAACCTCCAGCTGGAAGGTTGGAAGCCAGGCCTGCACCCATGCCCCACCTGTGTGTGTGCCTCAGCCTCTCCCATCACCCCTAGGCCTTCCTCCTGGCTGCATGGTTTGCCCTTTGGTGGGTCCTCTCACGTTCCCCAAGAGCCCTCAGGCCAGGGACCCTTCCTGGCTTCCCCTTAAACCCCACTCCAGCCCCATTTACATGCAGCTTTGAGGAAGGCACTCCATCCAATAGGCCACCAAACTTCTGTCTGAGTTTTGGCCTTTGGGTGTCCCCTTGGTGTCAACCACCTTAGATGGTCATGTCTCCAGTGGCAGGGGCCCTGCTTGGGTGTTTCTGTAGCTCCTGGACCCCTTCCACTTGGCTTGTAGGTGGCCCCTGGACGCTGGTGGGGGCGGTGAGGACTGGTGCAGCCTCTGGGGAGGCAGTTGCAGATTTTGACATGTAGGCCTCCTCACCGACCCTGCCTGCCTGTGTCTCAGAACTCACCAACATCCTGGCTTCCTCAAGAAGCTACGCTATGCTCCTGTTTGCCTGGGAGGGCTGGCACAACGCCGCAGGAATCCCACTGAAACCGCTGTATGAGGATTTCACTGCCCTCAGCAATGAAGCCTACAAGCAGGATGGTGAGCAGGCCCTTCCCTGTCCAGGAACCGTGCCAGGTGCCCTCTCGGCTGTTCCCTCGGAGCCCCAGCCCAGAGGCAGGCAGAGCAGCTGGGACGATGATTCCAGACGGCCCTGAGTTTCCCAGCAAGTGGAAATGGGACTGGCCTGCACCCAGTGTGCCTGGGCCATGCTGCCGGCCTGCCCCACATGGCCATCCTGTGGTGGCTCCTGACTCTAGTGCTCCTCTTTGCCTCTGGCACCCTCCAGGATCTGTTTAGCTGCCTGCAGCTAGTTAGAAATTGTAGAGTGGCAGCCCCCAAGCCAATGTTCCAGCTAGCTGCAGATCCATGGGCCTCAAGCCAGTGGAAGAGCTGACTGATAGCTGAGAGGCTGAGGTCTGAGCCTTTGGGTTCAGCTGCATACCCCCGCCCCCGATGCCCCCAGGCTTCTCAGACACGGGGGCCTACTGGCGCTCCTGGTACAACTCCCCCACTTTCGAGGACGATCTGGAGCACCTCTACCATCAGCTGGAGCCCCTCTACCTGAACCTCCATGCCTTCGTCCGCCGCGCACTGCATCGCCGATACGGGGACAGATACATCAACCTCAGGGGACCCATCCCTGCTCATCTGCTGGGTAAGGACCTGGCCTTACCTCCACATGAGTTCCAGGGAAGTGTTGGTCCAGGGTTGGGGTGGGGAGATGTCCAGGGTAAGGGAAGTCGGGTCGTGACCATCACATCTCATGTGTGGGGCATCATACTGTTCGCTTTGCACGCGGCAGACCATTCACGATCCCACTTTATAGATGGGGACCCTGAGGCTTAGGGTCGTGAGGGACCCAGTGGTCAGAGAACTAGGGGTCAATCCAAAGGCTCTGGCCCCGGGTCCAGAGGAGGAGCCATCAACCTAGTTCATACCTAAGGAAACAAGCCCCATGGCCCTGCCTCAGGGTTGAGTGGCCAGGACCTGGCACAGCCAGAAAGGACGGTGGCAGCATCTGGCATCCCCAGGACATGTGGCCCTCAGAGGAGTGTGGGTGGGACTGATGTGTGAGATTCCTAGCTGTAAGCCACTCCTGTAGCCCTTGAGGGCCCCAGGGTTCAGAAGCTGGCCCCAGGGTGCTGCTCATCGAGGCATGGAAAAGCTGGCACAGCCAGGCAGGAAGCCAAGCTGTCCCCCTCCTCATCTAGGAGACATGTGGGCCCAGAGCTGGGACAACATCTACGACATGGTGGTGCCTTTCCCAGACAAGCCCAACCTTGATGTCACTAGTTCTATGCTGCAGCAGGTAAGCTCTGGGCTCAGGCCTGGAGTGGCAGGGCTGCAGGGAGCAAAAAGAGGGAGTCAGAGATGGGCACAGGGGCGGGAAGGGGTCAGGTACCGAGCAGCAGCCTGGTGTGTTTGTAGGAGCAGTGAGCTGGGGTCGGTGCCCTTGGTGAGGTGCCAGCTCCTCCCTCCAGGCTCCATGGCGGCCGGATAAGAGGAGCAATGAATATTCACTCATCTGCTGTGGGCAGTGAGGGCCCTGCCTCGAGGAGTGGAGGCCACAGAGCAGAGAAGCTTTCATGCACAGGGAGCTGACCCGAGAGGGGGACTCCAGACCTGTCCCCAGACCAGCCAGAGCAGGCTCCTCCTGACCTGTCTCCCCACCCCGCCTCCAGGGCTGGAATGCCACACACATGTTCCGGGTGGCAGAGGAGTTCTTCGTCTCCCTGGGGCTCTCCCCCATGCCTCCAGAGTTCTGGGCAGAGTCGATGCTGGAGAAGCCGGCCGACGGGCGGGAGGTGGTGTGCCATGCCTCAGCTTGGGATTTCTACAATCGGAAAGACTTCAGGTCTACACATGGGAAGAGCAGGGTTCTGGGTCCCTGGGAAAGGCAGGCAGCCCAGGCACGGGGAAGCTGTTTCCCAGGCCTGCCTCTACCCTGCCTCAGCACTGGCTGAGAGCTGGTCTATTCCAGGGCTAGGGGGCATAGGAGGCCCAGTAGTCCACCTTTCCTGGCAGCTTTGACAAATAGTCACCTCTGTACCTTGGAACAGAGGAAGAAGGCCAGAGTGCTGGTGAGCCAGGGCAGGGTAAAGAATTTGCTTGTTTCAGCTGGGCACAGAGGCTCACATCTGTAATCCCAGCACTTTGGAAGGCCAAGGTGGGTGGATCACCTGAGGTTAGGAGTTCGAGACCAGCCTAGCCAACATGGCAAAACCCCATCTCTCTACTAAAATACAAAAAAAAAAAAAAAAAAAAATGCTGGGGGTGGTGGCAGGCACCTGTAATCCCAGCTACTCAGGAGGCTGAGGCAGGAGAATAGCTTGAACCCAGGAGGCAGAGGTTGCAGTGAGCTGAGGTCACGCCACTGCACTCCAGCCTGGGTGAAAAAGCGAGACTCTGTCTCAAAAAAAATTTTTTTTTGCTTGTTTCTACTTCGGCTTCATGCCCCAGGGTCTCTCAGGTGCCAATCTGCCCTGTGCTCTGGCCCTGCCCTGTCCTGCCCCTCCTTCACCCTCACCCTTGCCCTCTCTATGCACCAGGATCAAGCAGTGCACACGAGTCACGATGGACCAGCTCTCCACTGTGCACCATGAGATGGGCCATGTGCAGTACTACCTACAGTACAAGGACCAGCCCGTCTCCCTGCGCGAGGGCGCCAACCCCGGCTTCCATGAGGCCATCGGGGACGTGCTGGCGCTCTCCGTCTCCACTCCTGCACATCTGTACAAAATCGGCCTATTGGATCATGTCACCAATGACACGGGTATGGAAGGACGGAGAGGCCCCCGCCCAGCCTCACCTACACCCCGCTCCACCCCGCAGCGGGACCTCACTTGCCCCACTCAGCTCTGCCCTTCTGCCTCCCAGCCCCAAGTCAGGCAGGGTTCAGGATCCACCCAGAGCCTCACAGCGCACACTGAGCCTAGCTCAACACACCTGAGGGTCCTCTTCTAACCAGGGCCCAGGGTCTCGAGGGCCAGCCTTACCTTCTCTGTACCTTCCCAGCCTCACTTCCTGTTGCCCCCCCAGCCCACCACTCCTAGGGGACCCCTTTCTCCCTCTGACCTCCTCTCCCCTCTCATCTCCCAACAGAAAGTGACATCAATTACTTGCTAAAGATGGCACTGGAAAAAATTGCCTTCCTGCCCTTTGGCTACTTGGTGGACCAGTGGCGCTGGGGGGTCTTTAGTGGGCGTACCCCCCCTTCCCGCTACAACTACGACTGGTGGTACCTTCGGTGAGAGGATGGGTAGAAAGCCCTCACCCAGATAGCCCTCCCCAGCCTCCTGACTCAGCCAGTTCTAGCCTCTCCTCTATAATGATGTCCCCCTCCTGTGACCCACTGCCTTCTCCTTTCCTGCCTGAAACTCCCTCCACCAGGAAGTCTTCCCCAGTTCCTCAGGATGGGGAAGCGTTGCTGGGTTGGAAATGCCTTTTCTGCAAAAGCTAAATTCATCTATGTGCAACCTCTAGGCCCTAAGACAATTTAACCATCCTTTTCCAGAACCAAGTATCAGGGGATCTGTCCTCCTGTCACCCGAAATGAAACCCACTTTGATGCTGGAGCAAAATTTCATGTCCCAAATGTGACACCATACATCAGGTACTAGCACCCCTACCCCACCCGCCCCAGTACTGTCACACACCCAGTCCCCCTCTCCTCCTCCTCTGATCCTAGCTGCTTCATCCCCAGGGCTTGTCCCCATGCTCTTCCTGATCCAAAGGCCTGCAGTTAGAGTGGCCCACTCTCCTGAGCCTGTCTTGGATCTCCCTTCTCCCACAAGATAACTTCTGGTCCAGCCTCTGCCCTGCAGGAAGCTGGATGGTACCTGGGCAAGGGACCCCTGCTCCTGCCTCCCATGATCTTCCCTAACTCCCACCTGTCCCTGCAGGTACTTTGTGAGTTTTGTCCTGCAGTTCCAGTTCCATCAAGCCCTGTGCCAGGAGGCAGGCTATCAGGGTGCACTGCACCAGTGTGACATCTACCAGTCCACCAAGGCAGGGGCCAAGCTCCGGTGTGTGACGGGAAGCGGGGGCAGGTGGGAGGCAGAGGGGAGTGGCTGGCAGAGGGTATGGCAGGAGGCAGCTGGCTGCTCCGATGGGGTGGGCCGCCGATCACAGAGCTGGACTGATGTGGGTGCCTGTCTCCTCACTCTCTCATCAAGTATTTATTGAGTGTGCTTTCTGGCTGGCACAAAGTGAGACAAATGCCCCCTGCCACCCTCACAGATCCGAGCCCCTGGGGTCTTATTGCCGAAGTTCCCACAGTCCAGTGGTGGGGCGGGGGGCGGAAGTGGCCAGGGGCATGTGGGCTGGGGCCCAGGAGCAGACTCCAGCCTGAGTCCCCCGTGCCCATGGTACCCATTCTGCCTAAAAGGAAGGTGCTGCAGGCTGGCTCCTCCAGGCCCTGGCAGGAAGTGCTGAAGGAGATGGTCGGCTCAGATGCCCTGGATGCCCAGCCACTGCTCGACTACTTCCAGCCAGTTACCCAGTGGCTGCAGGAGCAGAACCAGAAGAACGGCGAGGTCCTGGGCTGGCCAGAGTACCAGTGGCGCCCACCGTTGCCTGACAACTACCCGGAGGGCATTGGTAAAGCCCCGAGTGAGGGTGGCGCAGGGCTAAGGCGGGTCCTCAACTCTGGGCTCAGCCCAGGCCCCAGGTTCCTGGTCATCTCCCCCCAGCTGATCCCTGGCACCCTGTCCTAGAGGGCCAGGCAGCCCGCCCCCCACCCAGCTCATCAGCAGGGCCTAGAAGTGGGGACAGGCATGTCTTTCCCCCAGCATTCTAGAGAGGGTATGCTCAGACCTGAGTGTCCCCCACCCCCACCTCCAGGGCCAGACACAGGGCTCTATGAGGTCACACTGCGGGCTCCGCTCTTATTGGCCAGGGGACAGTGGCTGCAGGGCTCTGCTCTCCTGCGGCCATGGGCCAAGGTTGGGCTACTGCAGGACTTCCCAGCCTCCTCTTCCTGCTGCTGTGCTACGGGAACCCCCTGCTGGTCCCCAGCCAGGCGGTAACCAGACAAGTGACTGTCACCCATGGGACAAGCAGCCAGGCAGCAACCAGCAGCCAGACAACCACCCACCAGGCGACAGCCAGCCAGACATCAGCCCAGAGCCCAAGTGGGACTGTGCAGGGCAGGGGCAGGGCAGCCGGGGTGGGAGAGGGGGGGCCAGGTAGGGACAGGGGCAGGGTACAAGGGGCTGGGAGATGGTTAACAGTTTCGCATGAGACCACAAACCTGGAGAGGGGAGGGAGAGGCTTGTCTGTTCCCCCCTCTCTGTCCCACAGACCTGGTGACCGATGAGGCTGAGGCCAGGAAGTTTGTGGAGGAATATGACCGAACATCCCAGGTGGTGTGGAACGAGTACGCTGAGGCCAACTGGAATTACAACACCAACATCACCAAAGAGACCAGCAGCATTCTAGTGAGAGCCACCTCCCCACCTCCAAACCTGCGCATATGCACAGACACACAGAGATGCTCTCCCGCTCACCATGCACAGCGGGGCTGCCACCACGTTTTAAATTGAATGTTTAAAACAGCACTCAATTTCAGATTTTGGTGGACATTTACTGAATGCCTGAGCAATGCTCCTTTCCTTAAACATCAGTCTCTGGGAGGCCGAGGTGGGAGGATCACTTGAGGCCAGGAGTTGGAGACTAGCCTGGGCAACATAGCAAGATCCCGTCTCTATTGAAACAAATAAACGAAAATCAATCTCTAGTAACAGAATAATTTGTACATACATAAGTGGTGCTCAAGTCATTTTTTAAAAGACTGAAAGCCCCCGTTTGTCTCCTCTACAAAAGGGGGCTACGCTTCCTCTCTCCCCTCCTCCCCTGCCTGTTTGGCTGAGCACAGATTACGCCACGGTGAGCCACACAGTTACTGTTCCTTGGCACTTCAACCTGTTGCCTCATCTTTTTCTCAACAGCCTTGCAAAATAGTCGGTGATCTTATTCCCATTTTACAGATGGAATTTGGTATTAACTCTGAGGTTCAGAGAGGCCACAGAGCTAATAGCAAGCTGGCTCCTCCCTAAGAGCCTTTAAGACACGTGGGGGGCTTCTCTTCTCTGTCCCTGCCTGAATATGCGTGGCTTGACCGAGGGCATCCGGGGAGGGTGAGCACTGCACCCAGGACGTCAGCAGTCCAGCTTGCAGAGGGTCTTAGAGGCAAAGGCTGCAACTTCATTCCACTGCCCCTCACCGCCACCTCCAGTCCTCAGCTCCCCCGTGGGGCCTCCTGCTCAGAGGCTGTTCCAGAGCTCCTGGGCCCCATGACACCATCCCCCTGTGCCCTCAGCTGCAGAAGAACATGCAGATAGCCAACTACACACTGCAGTACGGCACCCAGGCCAGGAGGTTTGATGTGAGCCACTTCCAGAACACCACTATCAAGCGGATCCTCAAGAAGGTTCAGGACCTAGAACGGGCAGCGCTGCCTGCCCAGGAGCTGGAGGAGGTGTGTGGCTTGCAAGGAATGGGGAGAGGTGAATCCTGGGGCGGTGAGCCCAGCACAAGGTCTGGCCTGGCCTTCATGCTGCTTGATACACTCGATGAATCAAGTCATGGCTTATGCCATGCGATGTGCACCTCGGAATTGCTGAGAAGGCAGCGCTTGCCAGCTCTACCTGTCACCCCCCTCCCCCCCAGCCCATGGGATCTGGGAGCCATGCAGGCCGCAGAGAGACAGAGCGTAGAGGAGTACAGCTCATTGCCTCTCTCCTTCCTCCTGCAGTACAACAAGATCCTGTTGGACATGGAAACCACCTACAGCGTGGCCACTGTGTGCCACACAAATGGCAGCTGCCTGCAGCTCGAGCCAGGTGAGAGCTCACATGTGAGAATGAGGTGAGGGCTGGGGCCGGCAGGGGCCCGGGGGTGCAGGACGAGAGCAAAGAGTTGGGCTCCGCTCGCTCGTGGGGTCAGCATGTCCAGGAAATGCCCTTCCTTGTTTTCCATGAGGGAGGCTTCTCTGCCCACTGAGAGCCAGCACCTACTGCATACCACGCCCCCATCTGCTGCCCTCCCGCAGAGCCGCCCTCTGCATAAGGGTCCCTGCTCTCCTGTCCTCACTGCATGCCACCCCTCAGAGCAATGGGATCTCAAAGTTGTATTTCATGGGCCTGGACTCCATTGGGGGAAACTCATGGACTCTAGCTCCTCCTGGCCCCCTTTTGTGATCCTGCCCTTCACTTCCTCACCTTCTCTGGCTTTCCTGGACCCCTCTCCCAGTGACTGATAAGGAAACTGAGTCACACAGCCCCTGAAAACGCCAGACTAGAATCTGAGCCTCTGATTCCTCTCACTTCCCTCCCCCACTCCGCCACTTCCTGCTGTCCTCTCTGCTCTCTCCACTGGCTGGTCCTTACTGCAGCCCCTTAGAAAGAGCGCATCCCTGACATGGACCCACACACAGATCCCTCCCAGCTCCCTCTCAGCCCACCCTCTCCAGGCTTGGAGAACTTGAGGCATAAACATTCCTCCGTAAGTAATCTCCACCCAGAAATGGATCTTTCCTGTCCCAGCCCAGCTCCCACATTAGAACAATGACATATAGAAGGCGAAATGAAAAATAAACAGGAAAAACAGTTTTCCCAGGATGGGGTTTGGACTACAAGTTGTGGATGTGGGTATGCACACGCCAAGTGCGAGGGAGGCTGGCGGGGCGTGGTGGCTCACACCTGTAATCCCAGCACTTTGGGAGGCCAAGGCAAGTGGATCACTTGAGGCCAGGAGTTTGAGACCAGCCTGGCCAACATGGTAAAACCCCGTCTCTACTAAAAACACAAAAGTTAGCTGGGCGTGGTGGCAGACACCTGTAGTCTCAGCTACTTGGGAGGCTGAGGCACAAGAATCGCTTGAGCCCAGCCTGGGCAATATGGCAAGACCCCATCTCTAAAATACAATGGGATTTTTAAGATATCTTAGACCCCATCTCTAAAATACAAATAAAATACAAAAAATTAGTTGGGTGTGGTGGTGCACGCCTGTAGTCCCAGCTACTAGTGAGGCTGAGATGGAAGGATCGCTTGAGCCTGCAGTAAGCCGTGATGGCACCACTGCATTGCAGCCTGGGCAACAGAGTGAGACCCTGTCTCAAAAAAAAAAAGAAAGAAAGGAGAGAGGCTCCAGCACGCCCCTCAGAGGGCTGCTGAGGCTCTGCAGTTGTCTGCAGCCCGTGGCCCCAGGCGGGGAACCATAAGCCGCCTCCAGAGAGCCACTCCCATCCTTTCTCCCACTTCTCTAGACCTGCTGCCTATACAGTCACTTTTATGTGGTCTCGCCAATTTCATTCCAGCTCTGAAATTCTCTGAGCTCCCCTTACAAGCAGATGGGAGGTGAGCTAAGGGCTGGAGCTCAAGCTGTTCAACCCCCTATCAGATCTGACGAACGTGATGGCCACATCCCGGAAATACGAAGAACTGTTATGGGCATGGAAGGGCTGGCGAGACAAGACGGGGAGAACCATCCTCCAGTTTTACCCAAAATACGTGGAATTCATCAACAAGGCAGCCCGGCTCAACGGTGAGACCCTCCTGCCAACACCACTGGTGCTCCAGTCCCCTCAGGTTCCTCAAAGAGGTCCTCTGAGACCCCAATAGGGAAAGGTAGGTCCCAGGAGGAGGCAGGTGATAAGGAGGTGGGAGAGCCTGGCTGTGTCCCCTCTGTAGGCTATGTAGATGCAGGGGACTCCTGGAGGTCTATGTACGAGACGCCATCCCTGGAGCAAGACCTGGAGCGGCTCTTCCAGGAGCTGCAGCCGCTCTACCTGAACCTGCACGCCTACGTGCGCCGGGCCCTGCACCGCCACTACGGAGCCCAGCACATCAACCTGGAGGGCCCCATCCCTGCTCACCTGCTGGGTAAGGGCACACATCGGGCCTGGAGGAGAGTAAACATGAACACTGTGTGGGTGAGGGTGGGGACAGGGCTGACTAGAGGGTAGGGAGCCAGCTGGGGAGTGAGAGACTCCAGCCCTGGCGGAAGGTTGCCCAGGCTGGAGAGGGATGGGCACTGGGGATGGGAGCCCCCTGCTTGCATCTGATGCCACATTCACTGCAGACCCATGTTGGGCAAGTCACCATGGATATGGGGGAGAAGTTAATGATCTTGTTGGGGAGACCACAGCACCCACCACAGCTCACAGTGTGCGATCCTGGAGGGCGAGGAAGGGGCTGCAAGCGGAGCTGGGGAGGCTTGCCAAGAGGTGGCCTGTGAGCACGGCCTCGGAAGATGACAGGGTTTGACGGGTGGGAAGTGGGGGTTGGGAAGACAGGCACAGCGTTTGGGGCAAGGGAACTGGAACAAAGAAGAACCTGAGGATGTAAATCCTCTTCAACCCCGGACCCTGTTTTGCCACAGGCTGCAATCTCAGACACCCCGAATGTGTGAAGTAGGTGGTGGAGGACAGTAAGGGACAGCAGGGACTGAAGCAAAGCAGAGGCCACTGGTTCTCTGTCCCTATTGGGATGTTAGGAATACTTTCCTGGGGCAGAGAGACAAGACAGGGCACCAGACCATTTCGAAACCATAAGGGAGGCCCCAGAGGGCGGTCTGGCTGTGGGTCTAGCCCCTACATAGGCTGCGAGTCCTGCCCTCTTCAGCCTCTCTCTGCTGAGACAAAGAACATCTGGTGATGTCACAGTGGAGGTCAACTCACCAACTGGGAAATGCAGGCCCCAGGAAGAAAAGCAACGTGCCAAGCGTGGCCTGGGAGCTGGGGCAGAGCTGGCCCTGACAATTGGAAAAAAGGGAAAGGGAACCCACCACTGGTGCTGTCTCTCTCTCTCTTTCTCTCTCTGGCTCCCTCTCCCTCTCCTCTCATGTCCCCTCCATCCCTCTTCACTCTAACCCTCTCTCACTGGTTTGCATTTTAGACTTCACCTGATGTCAGCTGAAGCTTCACCACCCTTGGCCAGGAAAGAGCCTTGCGTCTAAATCTGTTTCCGAGCCTTCCACTCATCCTGACCTTCTTCCTTTTCCTCTGTCCTGGAGAATTATGCTCTTTTCTTAACCCCAGACTCAGAGGCATCAGCCTCTCCTGAAGGAGACGGCTGGTTCCTGCCAGGGTTACTGAGCTGCAGACAACTCCGACCTCAGGTGGCGCGGAGGGGACAGGCAGGGTGGCTGGTGAAGAGAGTGGCCTGCCAGCCTTTCAGTCCCAGCCATGTCACTTAGGAGCTGCAGAGCCCTGGGCGAGGGGGTCACTTAACTCTCCAGCCTCAGTTTCCTTTACTAGCCAAAGGGAATCATGACAGTACCTGGATGCAGACAGGATTGAAAGTGAATCTACACATTGCTCCTGGCACAGAGCCAATAAGGGGTGGCCGCGGGGTATAGGTGTTCTGAGGACCTGTAATGTCCTCACGTGTCAGCGGTTGCTAGTCACACTGGTCTCCACTGCTCATGGACAGTGAAGACCACCTGGATGCCCTGGTAACCAGCAAGGCGCCACCTAGAGCCAGGGCAGTAATGACCTACTGGGCTGGGTCTGCACACTGAAGATGTTGTATGTCAGATACCTCGAACCTTGCAAACAACAGGTGCTCAAGAAATGCCACTATGGGCTGGGGACGGTCGCTCACGCCTATAATCCTAACACTTTGGGAGGCCAAGGCAGGTGGATCACCTGAGGTCAGGAGTTAGAGACCAGCCTGGCCAACATAGTGAAATCCCATCCCTACTAAAAATACAAAAAATTAGCCAGGCATGGTGACAGGTGCCTGTAATCCCAGCTACTCAGGAGTCTGAGCCGGGAGAATTGCTTGAACCCAGGGGCAGAGGTTGCAGTGAGCCGAGATTGTGCCAGTGCACTCCAGCCTAGCAGATAAGAGCAGGACTGAGTCTTAAAAAAAAAAAAAAAGAAAAGAAATGCCACTATGATTAGCAGGACTGGGATCTGGAGCACTCTTCCTGCAGGAGGGCACTGAGCCTGAGAAGTAACATTTGTCCCTCCTCTCTCTGCCATCCCCCTCACCCGCCTCCAGGGAACATGTGGGCACAGACCTGGTCCAACATCTATGACTTGGTGGCGCCCTTCCCTTCAGCCACCTTGATGGACACCACAGAGGCCATGCTAAAGCAGGTCCGCACCAGCCCAGGGGAGGGGAGGCCCTGCAGGGATGGGAGGGGCCCTCTGATTCAGGAGTTCCCTCCAGTTTGGCCCTGCCCCTGCGGCCTCCACCGCAGCATGCAGTCTGTCCCCAGAACTCCCAGTTTGGACAGAACCCCCTCTTCTTGCAGGGCTGGACGCCCAGGAGGATGTTTAAGGAGGCTGATGATTTCTTCACCTCCCTGGGGCTGCTGCCCGTGCCTCCTGAGTTCTGGAACAAGTCGATGCTGGAAAAGCCGACCGACGGGCGGGAGGTGGTCTGCCACGCCTCGGCCTGGGACTTCTACAATGGCAAGGACTTCCGGTACATCCAGCTGGGGCCAAGGCCTCGTTCCTGAGCCCCATGGGCAAGGGAAGTGAGCCAAGCAAAGGCTCCACTCCCGTCCCCCAGCCGGAGCTAGCAGGGTGGGACGGGGACAGGGCCAGAGTTTGGGACTGAGGGTCTAGAGAGGCATTGGCTTCTGTCAGGAAAACCCCATCCACCTGCCTGGGGGCTTCTGAAGCGTGCAACAGCTCTGTCAGCCTGGCCACTGGGAAGTGCTCAAGGTCCCAGTCCTGGGTTTGAGCACAGTGGGCTGCCCAGCCTCCCTCCTTATGAGCAGCCCCTGCAGAGAGCTGGCCTCTCCCTGGAGGCAAGTACTGTGAAATACAGAGGCACACAAGCATGTCAGGGGCTCTGCACAGATCCACTCTTGCCCCTGACAGAGGCTCAGAAGCTGCCTTCCTTGGAGGATGGTGTCTTAGTTACCTATTGCTATGTAACCAAGCACCCCAGAGCTTAGCCGTACAGAACAATTAGTTGGCCAGGTGCAATGGCTCACGCCTGTAATCCCAGCATTTTGGGAGGCCAAGGTGGGTGGATCATGAGGTCAGGAGTTTGAGATCAGCCTGACCAATATGGTAAAACCCCGTCTCTACTAAAAATACAAAAATTAGCTGGGTGTGGTGGTGCACGCCTGTAGTCCCAGCTGCTCAGGAGGCTGAGGCAGCAGAATGGCTTGAACCCGGGAAGCAAAAGTTGCAGTGAGCCAAGATCGCGCCACTGCACTCCAGCCTGGGCGACAGAGCAAGACTGTCTCAAAACAAAAAACAAAAAACAGTTGATTATGCTCATGGTTTTATGGAAAGCACACAGTGGAAATTGCCTTTCTCTACAGGCACCCTCCACTGCGGACAGTGCTCACGGCCGGGATGCCTCAATTTGGGGCCATCTGTCCAGAGCCTCAGTTGTGGCTATTGCTTGAGGTCCTCAGTGTTTCCCATGAGGCAGATGTTGGGGCACATGTTCCCGCTGGCCTCTTCGTTCAGACGTCAGGTGCCTGGGGTGGGATGGCTGGAACAGCTGGAGGTGGGTCAGGAGTCTCTCCAGGCTAGCTTGAGCACCCAGCATGGCATGTGAGGTGGGCAGATTTATTTACTACCTGGCAGCCAGCATCCCCCACGGCAGCCAGGTCTCAAGGCTAAGTCCAAAACTGGCCCAGAGTCACTTCCGCCATGTTTCATTTGCTACAGCAAGTTACAGTTCACCCAGATTCAAGAGAAGGGGAAAAAGTCCCTCCCTCTGGGAAGAAGTGGCAAAATCTGTCACAGCTGAAATGTCTCTTACAAGGAGAGCAGACATGGGGAGCCTGGAATCAAACCCAATGGGCCCTTCCAGGCATGAGGACTGCAGCCGCAGGGTTGAGAGGACACAGAATCAGGGGGATGAGAGCCCTTGTGGAGTCTTCCCTTTTGTGGGGAGTCGAAGGAGAAGCTGAACACATCCCAGCCTCATTGTGGCCAGGATGCTGACAGCTCTCCCCACTCCACTGATGAGAATGACAGAAAAACAGGATTCACCTGAGACAAAAGGCTTCCGATTAGATCCAACAGAGAATTCCCTGCACTTTGAATTGGCTTGCAAAACAAGGAAGGGCTGGGCGTGGCGGCTCGTACCTGTAATCCCAGCACATGGGGAAGCCGAGGCGAGAGGACTGCTTGAACTCAAGAGTTTGAGACCAGCCTGTGCAACATAGCGAGCCCCTCATTTCATAAAAAATTAATAAATAAGCGAGAAGATGGGAGGATTGACAAGAGACAGTCGAACCTTGTGGCTTGGCAGCTCTGCAGCTGCCGTTCATCCTGGCCGTAAGAATTCTCGGGGTGAATAGGTTTGCTGCTGTTGAGTCACGTGAGATGCAGAATCACCCAGACAGTTGTTTCCTTCAGGGAGGAAGCCACTGGCCACATGTTTTAGAAAGTACACAGTGTCCTAGTGCCTCTAGAGCAAGCACTTCATATAGTCAGAAAGCAACAGGTGGTGGAGGCTGCAGTCATTCAGGAAAGTGGGAGGCAGAGTGGCCTGAATGACCTGACTGTAGGGGCTTCTGCCCCTGGATTCCCTCTTTCTCAGGCTCACTCAGCACTTCCCCTCCCCCTCCCTCCCTCAGTGCTGTGTTCCTGCCTGCTGCAGTGCTGGGGTCTGCCCTGGGCATAGCAAGGCCTGCTGTTCTTCTCCCCAGGGCTTCTCACTGTCCTCTCCCAATGCCCTCTTCCCCACTCCGCTGTTCCCAGGATCAAGCAGTGCACCACTGTGAACTTGGAGGACCTGGTGGTGGCCCACCACGAAATGGGCCACATCCAGTATTTCATGCAGTACAAAGACTTGCCCGTGGCCTTGAGGGACGGTGCCAACCCCGGCTTCCATGAGGCCATTGGGGACGTGCTAGCCCTCTCAGTATCTACACCCAAGCACCTGCACAGTCTCAACCTGCTGAGCAGCGAGGGTGACAGCTTTGGTGAGAGAGGGGCAGGAGGCCCTGGTGGGCTGAGGGCCAAGAAGGGGCGGTGAACTTGGGAGGTGGGAGAGGGGCACTTAGTGGCCCATGAGCAGAGGCTTGGGACAGAGCAATGGGGAGGAAGGGAGCCACCCAACCATCCCAGGAGGCAGGTCACAGGGCAGGGAAAGGTACAGCAGCCCCTCCCCTCCCCCGTCACAGGCACACCAGGGCCGAGCCGCTAGGACCTGGCAGGGGCCATGCACAGGTCTGACGGCTGGGCTCCCTTCCATTGCAGAGCACAACATCAACTTTCTGATGAAGATGGCACTGGAAAAGATTGCCTTCATCCCCTTCAGCTATCTCGTGGATCAGTGGCGCTGGAGGGTATTTGATGGAAGCATCACCAAGGAGAACTACAACCAGGAGTGGTGGAGCCTCAGGTCTGGAACGCTCCCATGGGATATGGGCCAGGGATCTCTTCGGGTGCCTGCGTGCGCCTGAGTGTCTCGATGGGCCAGGGTAGAGAAGTGTGTGTGTGTGTGTGTGTGTACGATTGTGTCTGTGCATATGGCGTGTGTGTGTGTGAGTGATGGGGAAATGGGGTGACTGTGCACAGAGGCACAGCATGTAGGAGAATGGGGTGCCCAGCGTAGCCCCAATTGCAGGGACCCTCCTTCAAGTAAAAAATGCCACCCCTAGCCCGGTTCCCCCCAAACTCACCTTCCAACATATATTCCCACTTGACAGGCTGAAGTACCAGGGCCTTTGTCCCCCGGTGCCCAGGACTCAAGATGACTTTGATCCAGGGGCCAAGTTCCACATTCCTTCTAGTGTGCCTTACATCAGGTAACAGGGGAAAGGCAGGAGGGTACGTCATGAGGGGCAATGCCCACAGCTTTGTGTTTAAACTGTGGCCGCTGTCCAGTCCACAAGCTCTGCCAGTTAGGACAGACCTGGGCGAGCTGGCTGCAAGTGCAGGTGCCTGGGCCACTCACCCACTGCCAAGGCTGATGGTTGTTTTCTTGAATATTCTTTTCATGAGAGTCTGGACCATCCAAATACTTGAACAGAGAAACTCAATCTAATAATTGGCTAATGGTTACCCGTTAACTTGGTTAAGTAGTTAACATTAACCATGACTCATGGCTGGATCATGACCTCAGCACTGTTGTTTGGTTTGGTTTTGCTTTTAAAACAAGGTTGTGATTCTTTTACTATTATTGAACATTGCCTGTGGTACAGTTTGAATTGTACCTGGAAGCCCTTCTAGACACACTAAAATGCAGGGTTGGATAGCCAGTTAAGTTGGGAGGTGGGGTTGCTGGGGCAAGTTACAGTCACAGGCTGGGGTCAGAACTGGGTTCAAGCCCAGCCTCCATGACTTTGTTTCCTTGAGAAATTCCTCAATTTCTTTAAGCTTCTGTTACCTCACCTGTGAACCTTGTTTCACAGGATGTGCAATGGCTAACTTCTTAGCGTTCCGTCTCATACACAGCCTGCTCAGGAATGGGTGGCCAGGACCTCACTAATAGTCACTCTCTAGGGGAACGTGTCCTCATCCGCATGCTAGGTCTGCAGGTCACGTGGCCACAGATGAGTGTGCCCAGCACAGCCCCTCTCTTTCTGTGTCCCCCAGGAGAGCACTTGTTGAGGGCTGGCAAGGCTGGATGTGGGATCTGGGGCCTCTCTGCAGGCTGGCAAGGCTGGATGTGGGATCTGGGGCCTCTCTGCAGGTTGGGGGCTAGATGTGGGACCTGGGGCCTCTCTGCAGGCTGGCAAGGCTGGATGTGGGCTCTGGGGCCTCTCTGCAGGCTGGGGGCTAGATGTGGGACCTGGGGCCTCTCTGCAGGCTGGCAAGGTTGGATGTGGGATCTGGGGCCTCTCTGTAGGCTGGGGCTGGAGAGACCTCAAGCTGGAATTCCAGGTGCCCCTAGGCTACAGGTAGCCCAGGCCACCCAGGAGTCAAGGTACAGAAGGCAGTGAAGGCCACCCCCAGAGGGCTGTGGCTGCCTCTGGCCCTAGCCTCCTGTGGTCTCTGGAAGCCCAGCAAGGGGAGGGCCCATGCCCACCTTGCCTCTTGGTATCTGGCACGATGCCAGCACATCATCAAGTGCTAATAACTGATAGTGGGATGGATGAAGTCTGTCCCCCAGAGTCCAGGAAGAGGGCGTCCCTAGAGCACCTCAGACAGGCCTGATCTAAATGGTGCTCCAGAGATGACCCTTATGACAGGGCTCCCGCCTGCCTGCTGGAGCGGTCCCTGGGATCCCCAGTCAGCTCTGGCTGTCACCTGGGAGCCGGCTGGCATGGTGGCTAGCTTCCCAGCTTCATGTAGACAATTCTTCAAACAGGGGCAGGCAAAGGAGACTTGGCTGCTCTAGAAAAACATTCCGTATTCTGGCCAGCAGCCTCTGCAAAACACTTTTAGGAAAGACCAGGGAAGTCGGTGGTACATGGCTTGTACCCAGCATTCAAGACTTTAAGCCAGGGAGAATCCTCCAGCCTTGACTGGCAGATGTCTACCAGGGAACTCCTGATACTTTGGATAAGATTATGTAGGACTGGCTTTCCTGCCCAGACCACCCTACCAGACCCACATGGCCCATTTGGCCACACCTTGCCTCTACTTGCATGTACCCAGGGATGGAGACCTCACTGCCTCCAAAGTTGCCTGCCAGACCTCTGAAGGGTCCTGCCCTGACCCCATGGAGCAGGCCTTCCTGAGATATGGAGGCAGCCCTGTGAGTGGGAGGCATGTACACAGGCACAGTAGGAAGAGGCTCAGATAATGCTAAAGCCAGGAGGTGCTCGCCCTGATGGCAGTGGGCAGGGTCGGGGGGTCTCGGCTTTGCTGTGCCCATGTGACTTGGCACACATCATAGGTGCTGCGCAGAAAGGCCTGGGGCCCCGTGGCACAGGCCCTTCAACCAACTCCACCCCGGGCCACGGCCACCCTCTGCTCCAGGTACTTCGTCAGCTTCATCATCCAGTTCCAGTTCCACGAGGCCCTGTGCCAGGTGGCTGGCCACACGGGCCCCCTGCACAAGTGTGACATCTACCAGTCCAAGGAAGCCGGGCAGCGCCTGGCGTGAGTGTCCTCAGCCCTCCTTTTCTATGCTCTGGCCTGCTCCTCCGGGCCTGAGGGGTCTGTCCACCAGGGCTCATCTGGAACACTTGCCGTTTTGGCTCTTGAGCTGGGAACTCCCACCTGCAGCTGGGCCGGGCCTGATGTTCCAGGACCTGATGTGCCATCTCCGTGGGCAGCTGGAGCCCTGGGGCCCTGGGACAAGTTTTAGCTGGGAGAGGGGTATGGAGAGTGGGTGTTAGGCTGGGGCAGGAGGGGCCGTGTCCTTCTGACTCAGCCTCCCTGTCTTGTGCCTGCCCAGGGCCGCCATGAAGCTGGGCTTCAGTCAGCCGTGGCCGGAAGCCATGCAGCTGATCACGGGCCAGCCCAACATGAGCGCCTCGGCCATGCTGAGATACTTCAAGCCGCTGCTGGACTGGCTCCGTGCGGAGAACGAGCTGCACGGGGAGAAGCTGGGCTGGCCGCAGTACAACTGGACACCCAACTCCGGTACCGCCACCCGCCCCGCCTCCAGCCCCAGGCCTGCACCCCCTCCCCAGGCCCGGCGGCCACGCGGCTGACCTTGGAGCCCTGGCCCTGCCACGCGGCCTCGCCCTGCCCATGCTGTCTCCTTGCTTTCAATCAGCTCGCTCAGAAGGGCCCCTCCCAGCCAGCGGCCGCGTCAGCTTCCTGGGCCTGGACCTGGAGCCACAGCAGGCCCGCGTGGGCCAGTGGCTGCTGCTCTTCCTGGGCGTCGCCTTGCTGGTGGCCACCCTGGGCCTCAGCCAGCGGCTCTTCAGCATCCGCCACCACAGCCTCCGCCAGCCCCACCACGGGCCCCAGTTTGGCTCTGAGGTGGAGCTGAGACACTCCTGAGGTGACCCGGCTGGGTGGGCCCTGCCCAAGGGCCTCCCACCAGAGACTGGGATGGGAACACAGGCGGGGGACTGAGGACGCTCCCCAGCCTGCCCTGCTCCTCCCACCCTGTCCCTCTCCCCATCCTGTCCTCATCCTCTAGACCACCAGCCGCCCCAACCCTTGCCTCCTTCTCCTGGCCATGGAGCCCCACCTCTCCAAGTCTCTCTGTAAATATAATTAAAGGTCCTGCCCTCCCATCTGAGTCTGTGTCCCTCACAGGGAAGCCAGGGACAGGGCCAGGGACAGGCTGCTCTCCTGTCCCCTGGCATTCAAGCATGTCTGTTTATTGGGCTTCTTCCTCCATCCTCCTCCAAGAGCCAGGGAGAATCCCCAGAGCTCTGCTCAGCCCCTCCTGGCCAGCACCTGTCTTCCCACCAGCCCAGGCAGCCGGCCACTGTCCTGCCACCGCAGGCAGCCCCTGTCGGGCCCAGGCACTGACCCAGGAGGACTCTGATAAGCCGACACCCTGAGCTGCTGGCCTCACATTTCCACTGGCAGTGGAGCCTTTCCCTGCCCCATAAATGGCCAGGTCCCCCCAGGGGAAGGCTCCTGGCTGTCATTGGCTGCCCTCGGAGGGAGCACCCTGGAGGGCCTGCTTCATGGAGGGTGCCGACTGGAGGGCGCAGACTGGCCTAGTGCTTCCCTCAGCTCCTGCCTGTATCAGCTCCATGTCCCCCTGCTCCCGAGGACAGCCTTGGCTCTCAGACAAGCACTCCAACACGCTGGGGCACAGGGGCCTCCCACGCCAGAGTGTTGCTGTGGCTGCCCCTGCACGGGGATGAGCTGCCAATGGCCACCCTGCTGGCGTCCCAGCACACAACTCCCCACGCCCCACATCGGAGGGAGTGTCATTTTGAGGGACATTTTTATAACTTTTATGTACATGTTTATGTGGAAATTTGGAAAATGCAAAAAACTGTAATAAAAAATAAAAGCCCTTTATGTCGACATCAAGAGGTAAGCCCTGCTGACGTTTTGTACAACTTGCCGGAACTTTTGTTCTCAGCACATGTGTATTTTAAATGGGCTCACACTATTTACAGTCATATACCCTTTTACCATTTCATACAACTATATCTGTCTTTTCCATATTTAAATGCCAGACTTCGAACCGCGGCAAATAGAAGTTGGTCCATTTGCTGGGGCCAGGAGCTTCCTGGCCACCCTGGCCCCTCTGTCGAACTCTCCACCCTGAGTCTCTTCTGGGCTTTGCTGATGCCTTCACCCTAGCCAGGTCCATCTCCCAACGTCCCCCAGTAACCTTAGTCTGTGGCTTCTGCCCCCTAATCTCCAGCTGCCACGCATGTCTGTGTGCGTCCGCGTCTGTGTGTATGTTGCACACAGGCTTGGCTATTCAGGCCCGTTCCATAAGGCAGGATGTGGGGCTGAGGTATTTTAGGATTGAAAGAGGGTGGAAGTTTATGATTACGTAGGACAATGGAATTTATAAACACATCCTCTAAATAAAGACTTCTTGAATTATCCCCCCTTTTCCCAGCCTATGTTTTGAAAGCTCTTTGTTTACCAGACAAAGGTCATCGTCGTATAACCCCATTTCCTTTTTTTTTTTTAGACAGAGTCTCGCTCTTATTGCCCAGGCTGGAGTGCAGTGGTGTGATCTCGGCTCACTGTAACCTCCACCTCACAGGTTCAAGCGATTCTCTTGTCTCAGCCTCCCGAGGAGCTGGAATTATAGGCCCCTGTCACTATGCCCCCGTAATTTTTTGTATTTTTAGTAGAGATGGAGTTTCATCATGTTGGCCAGGCTGGTCTCGAACTCCTGACCTCAGTTGGCCTCAGCCTCCCAAAGTGCTGGAATTACAGGTGTGAGCCACCGCGCCCAGCCCCACTTTCTATTTTTATGAACCACAAAGGTTCATGCTGCCTGTCAGAGCTTGTGGGCAGTGTGAGGTCACAGCTTTCAAAACCCAAAGGACTGTGCTGCAGCTGGGAGAAGAGAAACTCCACACGGCATGGGCATGGGCCTGGCCAGCCTTTTACTCTGGACTTTTCGAAATAGTATCATTCTTTAGATGTCTGTCTCTGCTCCCTTGGGTGAGTAGGGGATGAGTGGGGGATACCTAGAAGGTAGCAGAGGAAGACGAGGTGGCGACAGGAGGAGGAGGTGCCAGCCCAGTGTTTTCTGTTTCTCAGCCCGGTGGCCCTGAAGGCTGAGACTATCCCCATGCTGTGCCTGCCAATCTGCTCTTGGGTAACCAGCTCTCACCTGTGCTGGCTACAGGTGGTGGTTGCCAGACAGTTTCTCTGATCACCACACCACTTCCAACCCTCCACATTCCTCCATCTGCCCACCCTGCTTCCTACCCCACACTGACTTTTAACATGAGTGAAAAAGTGCCTAACCCCACCTCTGCACTTCTTACCTGTGTGACCTTGGGCAGTTTGCTTTTGCAGTCTGCATTTGCTTTCCTATGAAACAGTTCTTATCAACCCTCTCGGGATTGCCATGAAGATGAAATGAGATGATATACAAAGTCCTAGTACAGAGTGTCTTCTCTTTATAATGAATGCGTCATCTGAGAAAGCTAGTTTCATCACATCCCCAGGTGAGCCAAGTCCAGATCAGTCGCCTCACTTGAGACAGGAAGAGGACCCGGGGCAACCGGTGATGGAGCTGGACTGAAAACTCACATCTCCCAGCTGCCTTCCAGGAACTTTCCTACCACATGTCCTTGCACGGTCGGTCAACTATCTTCTCACTGGGAGCACACGGAGCTTGTCCACTGGGGTCCCACAGCTTGCCTCAGTTCCGGGAGCACTCAGCCATCTCCCCAGCTCACCTCTCCTCATCCTCCCTCCCATGTAACCTCTGCCTCATCCTCTCCCTCGTCCTCCTTCCATTGTCGCCTCTACCCGCTCCTCTCCCTCATCCTCCCTCCCCGTGTCACCTCTGCCTCATCCTCTCCCTCGTCCTCCTTCCCGTGTTGCCTCTACCCGCTCCTCTGCCTCATCCTCTCCCTCATCCTCCCTCCCCATGGTGCCTCTGCCTCATCCTCTCCCTCATCCTCTCCCTCCCATGTTGCCTCTGCTTCATCCTCTCTCTCATCTTCTCCCTCATCCGCCCTCCCTGTGTCGCCTCTGCCTCATTCTCTCCTTCATCCTCCCTTCCCATATCGTCTCTCCCTCGTCCTCTCCCTCATCCTCCCGCCTCTCCTTCGAGGACCCCCATGAGACCCTGCCTGGGGCTTTCTGTCTTGCCCTCAGTCTCCTAATTCTTGCTCAAAGCACTCACCCCGTTTCCTGTCCTCTGTACCTGGCGATTCCCCAGCTGTGTCCTCAGGCCCAGTGCTTCTGATTTTTAGCCTACTGCTTAATCTGGCCTTCGAGGGTTTTATCGTTCCAATTGAATTCCTATGTTTTTCCTTTAGCATCCCTGTTTCTTTCAAACCTCCTGTGTTTTCATAAAAGCCTATTTTTGCCTCACAGATTCTGTTCTCTGATGACTTTAAAGACCTAGTTTTTTTAAATTGTGGCAAAATATACAGAATGTAAATTTGCCATAGTAACTATTTGTAAGCATACGATTCAGTGGCACTGAGTACATTCACATTGTTGCATCATTGTGCGGCCATCACCACCCTTCATTTCCAGAAGTTCCCTCTTTTTTTTTTTTGAGACAAGTTGCCCTCAAAAAAGGTGCTTACTCTGTTGCCCAGGCTCACTGCAGCCTCGACCTCCTGGGCTCCAGCAATTCTCCCACTTCAGCCTCCCCAGTAGCAGAGAGCACAGGCATGCACCACCACACCCAGATAATTTTTTTTAAGTTTTTAGTAGAGGCCAAGCGCAGTGGCTCATGCTTGTAATCCCGGCACTTGGGAGGCCAAGGTGGGCAGATCACTTGAGATCAGGAGTTCAAGACCAGCCTGGCCAACAATGGCAAAATCCCACCTAAATACAAAAATTAGGCCGGATGCGGTGGCTCACGCATGTAATCCCAGTACTTTGGGATCGAGATCAAGAGATCGAGGTCATCCTGGACAACAGGGTGAAACCTCGTCTCTACTAAAAAAATACAAAAATTAGCTGGGTGTGGTGGCATACACCTGTAGTCCCAGCTACTTGAGAGGCTGAGGCAGGAGAATTGCTTGAACCCAGGAGGTGGAGGTTGCAGTGAGCCGAGATCAGGCCACTGCATTACAGCCTGGTGCCTGGCGACAGAGCAAGACTCTGTCTCAAAAAAAAAAAAAGGAGAGAGATCCAGGATGGCTGATTACTAGCAGCTCAGGATTGTAGCTCCCAGTGAAAGCGCAGAGAACGAGAGGACACCACATTTTCAGACGAATTTTTGTTGCTCACGGACCAGGAGATTTCCAACAGAGGAGCCCCACGGGTCGCCAGCGTGACTCTTGTGGCCTGCACAGCGGTTTTGCCGGTGCCCCAGCGCAGCGGTTCTTGATGCAGAGTAAATGGGACTGGGTCCCCTTTTGGTCGACGTTTGGAGCTCCAGGAAGGCAAAGTCGCCTATTCAGCTGATTGAAAAAAGGGACTCAAGAAGGAAGCCAGACTGGAGATTCCCAAGCAGAAAAGCACCACGAATCTTAACGCGGCTGTTTTGGCTGGCGCAGTGGGTTGCTCAGATTCCGGCGCTGGGAATCAGTAAGTTGGACGTCCACTCAGAGACCTAATTTGAAAGTCAGTAATTACAAAGACGACAGGTGGATAAATTTACAATGATGGGAAGAAACCAGCGTAAAAAGGCTGAGAATACCCAAAATCAGAA